CCTGTTCCTAGCCCTCCCTTCACCCCCTCCACCCTTCCCTATTTACAAAGACTTTGTTTCCATTTTTTCCCCTTTTTGTATTTTTAAGAGAGGGTCTCACTAAGTCGTTGGGGTGGCTGGGCTCGAACTTTTGAATCTCCTGCCTTAACCTCCTAGAGTGCTGGAATTACAGGCATGCATCACTGTATCTGGCTTTTTCTTTTTTTACTGGCCCATAAGATAATAACAATGATATATCAATGATGTCTAAGACTAGATAAATGACAGGATCCACAATAAACAGCAGGTACCATGGTGAGGACTTTACATAAATTTTCTGCATGTGTTTGTGAATAAACCAGGTGAATTAACTTTCTTCACGCTAGAAGAGGATCAGTTGCTTTGGGTTGCAAGTGATGGTGGCCTTAAAAATATGTTTTAGACAACTTCACCTCTTCATATATTCTGGATTAAAGTCAAGGTGGAATATTTTGAGTTGCCACAAAAGCAATGAAAAGCTCACTTCCATTTCCAACATCTTACCTTTGTGAAGCAGAATTTTGTGCAGTGATAGCAACCAAAACGAGATTATAAAGTAGATTTGATATAAAAAAAAAACACGGGGTGTCACTGACTCCCTTCACCTTTGACAGGACTATCTAGTTGCAGGAAAACAAACTCAGAATTGGCCGTGGTGGTGCACACTTGTAATCCCAGCACTCAGGAGGCTGAGCCAGGAGGATTGCTGAGAGTTTGAGAGTTTCGGGCTCCACAGTGAGTTAGTTCAATGCCAGCCTGATCAACATAGCAAGGCCCTGTCTCAAAAAACAAAGCAAACAAACTCAGGACTCCCACTGATTCTGCTTTATGGTGAGTTGAATAATTATTTGTTATATATTCCAAAGTAATTATAATAGAAATAAAGTGCACAATAAATGTAATGTGCTTGAATCATCACCAAACCACTTCTTTCCCCCCATCTGGGGAAAAATTGTCTTCCATGAAACTAGTCCCCAGTGCTAAAAACACTGGGGACAGCTACAGTAGAGTAGGTCAGTCTGTGATTTTGTTGCCAGCATCTTAATGAGAGGTACCCCTTTCATACATTCCATCCAGGAGGTTTTATGACAATCTGCTGCTCTGATGGAACTTTAAACTCTATCAAGAATGAATAAACAAGAATGTAAGCAAATAAGATGTCGTGGGGGGCTGATAAATCCTAGCCAAAAGCAGTGTACCAGGATGTGGCTACTGAGGGGTAGCATAGTAGGGGGTGAGGTCACACAGGTTTGGAGCCCATAGGAAGGAACCTGGGTGTTATTCTCAAAGCAGGGGTTGGTTTTGTGTGGTTCAGAGGGGAAGCCATATGGTGTCCCTGGCTCCTCACAGACCTTTCGTTATACCACACACACTTCTGTCCCTCTTCCCTGGCCAAATCGGCCATCGGGCTGTTTCAGGGATGTGTCAAGTTCTTTTCTGCCTTTGGATAACTACATTTCTTATTTCATTTGCCTGGAAACAGCCACCACCACCATCAAAACTATTTCTCCACACAATTATATGGTCGCTCCCCTGCATCATTCAGGTCTGTGTTTGAAGTTCTCACCCCGTGCCTCCCATCTAAAATGTTTCCCTCCACCTCCACCATTAGGCCTCTTCTCCGATCCCCAGGTGCTCTTGCATTGCTTTGCTTTGCTTTTTGCAATTAAACCCAGGTCCTTCACACTGAGCTGCATCCCCAGTGCTTTACAAAATGTTTTGCTTTGAGACTGGGTCCCCCTAAATCAGTAAGTTGCCCAGGCAGGGCTCAAACTTGTGATCCTCCTGCCTCAGCCTCCTAGAGTGCTGGGATTACTTACAGGTGTGCACCACCAGGCCTGGCTTGCTTTGTCTCAACCATGACTTTATTTCTTCACCTGTTTATATTTTATTGGCACCACTGGAGTATAAGTGCCACATGAGGGTGTGGACTGGAACTGCTGTGTTCACTGTGTGTTCCCAATGCCTAGCACATCGTCTAGCACACAGCAGAGGATTTGATTCATTGTCTATTGCTTGCTTTGTTTGATTTTTGTTGTTGTTGTTACCTGGGATCGAACTCAGGACCTTGCACTTGTGAGGCAGGCGCAGTTCCGCTGAGCTAAATCCCCTCGTTGTCTGTTGCTGTGGAACGCACTACCCCCCAAACTTAGTGGCTCAGAATAACATTAGTTTATTTTCTCATACCTCGTAGGATCAGGAATTCTGGAGGGCTAAGCTGTGTTGCAGCTCAGGGTCTTTAATGGGGGGTGGACTCATCTTGGGCCTGGGATGCGCTCATCTTGAGGACCTTGCAGGATCTTCTGCTGAGCTCTTTGATATAACTACTGGCCAGCAGCCCTCAGTCCCTTACCATGTGAGTTTCTCCACAGGGCTGTTCACAACAGATTGGTTGGAAAAATTATCAGAGAAAGAGGAGGGAGAGAGAGAGAGATCAAGGTGAAAGCCACAGTACCTTATTAAGACCTAGTATCTGAAGTTGCACACTAGCATATCCACTTCATTTTATTAAAAACAAGTTTCAGGGAGTATGAAGCAGGAGGATCTCCAGTCCAAACACAATCTGGGCAATTTAGGGACTTAGTGAGACCTTGTCTCAAAATAAAAAATAAAAAAGGCTAGGGATGTAGCTCAATACAAAGGCCCTGGGTTTAATCCCTATAACCATAGAAAACAAAAGAACACCCTCCCTCTCCAAAAAAACAAAACAAAACAGAAAAACAAATTGCAAAGTCCAACCCACATACAAAGGGAGGAGAATTAAATTCCACTTCATGAAGGGGGAGGAGTGTTACAGAATTTGTGGGCATTTCTAAAAAATGAACACAGTGACTGATGAATATTTGTGGATTGAAGGGATGTATAAATGGGTTACACCTTTAAATAATCACTCTGGCTGCTGTGTGGAGAACAGAGTACAGAGGGGGAAGACTAACAGCAACAAGACAGGGAAAGATGATGGCCATCAACATTTATTCTTTTCCTGCTCTCTGAGGTGTTCCGAGCTCTTTATGGCCATGAACTCATTTAATCCTCAGAACAACCTCATGAGGTGTGTATCACGCTATTGTCTCCTTTTCTAGACAAGGAAACCATGGGCCAGAGATGTGAAGGAGCAGGATCGCAGGCCAAGGGTGGTGCTACAGTCTACACAGCTCTGGCCGTGGAGATTTCAAGCGCCTCTATCCTACTTTGTGATTCCAACTCATAAGACTCCTGGGCTCAAGGTGTTACAAGAATCTAGGTTGGTTGACAACCATACCTTAGATATAGAAGTTTCTTTTAGTGATACTAAAAGAGACCTAAAATAGACTGTGGTTGCCCACCCCATGCCTGTCTCCCCCCCGCCCCCGTATGTGTTTGTTCCAGTGATACTACAATAGACTGTGGTCTTTCTCTCTTTTCAGTAATAGGAATATATTGTGATGGTGAAGATAAGACTTTGAGGTCTTTAGCTTTTATTTAAAATGTTTTGGGCGGGGGAATGTAGCTTAGTGGTAGAGGACTTCCCTAGCATGCACAAGGCCTTGGGTTTCATCAGCAGCACACAAAATAGGGCTGGGGATGTTGCTCACTGATACAGTACCTGCCCAGCATGGGTGAGGCCCGAGGTTTGATCCCTGGTACCAAATAGGAAAAAAGGAGACAAAAACGAAAACATAAAGGGCCGGGGATTTAGCTCAGTGGCACCATGCCTGCCTCCAAAGTGCAAGGTCCTGAGTTTGATCCCCAGTACCAAAAAAAAAAATGTTTCTAGGGAGAGAAACAAATTCTTAAACACATGGATACTCCCTCCCGGGTGTGGTGGCGCAGCACTGAAGAGGCTGAGGCATGAGGATCATCACAAGTTCAAGGCCAGTCTGGTGTACTTAGTGAGTTCTAGGCCAGCCTGAGTTACATAGTGAGATCCTATCTCAAAAAACAAAACAAAACAAAGCCCTCCCCAACAAAAGAAAATGAGAGTATCCTGCTCTTCTTCCAAAATGGATTTGTTTTTTTCATATATTTGAATAAATATATATTAAGATTCTGAATTTAGTATGTAATTTTCAAGCAATTAAGCTGATTTTTTCATGGATCTAGATTATTTATGTCAGAAATGTTATTTTCCTTTCATATTTGTTGAACTACATTAAAATATCATTACTTTAGCTCATTACATAACCTGTATTTTAATGAAATAAACTATATATAAGCAAGTTAAATTTCCCACTACACAGCTTTGAGATATTCTACTGATTTTATGATAAGCCTGAATTGTCTTCTTCATTTTGAATGAAATTCCTTTGTCTGATCGCAGACTAAAAATGACCTTTACACTGTAATTTTTAGTATGCTGATTAAAGAAGAACGCTTGTTTAGGTTTTATTGCACATCCATTCAATTTTACTGTAACTTGAACTAATTGTATTCTACATAAGAAAATACATCATTTTTATTTTTGCTTTCACATTTGATTGCTTCCCTTTATAATCTTGTAGATGCTCTAATGATTCTTTCCTCTTTTTACTTTTTGCATTTTTTCTTCTTGTAAATATATTCTTTTCCTACTAGAAAAAGAAGTATAATGCTGCACAAATCTCAATGGCAATCTCAGGAATAATTTTTCTATGTTATTATTATTTTGAAGCTGTGAGCAGCTATCTGTGCTACATAAAAAACAACGAAAATACCGAGCAGTATTTGGTGTTTTAGGACGCAAACACAGGGCTTGAGGACATAGCTCAGTGGGGTTGTGCTGACCTAGCATGTGTGAGCCTCTGGGTTTCATCCCCAACTACACATAAAACAAAAACAAGACAGAAAACAAAAGGCAATGATAAAGGGCCGAGGATTTAGCTCTGTGGCACCATGCCTGCCTTGCAAGCAGAAGGTTCTGAGTTCGATCTCTGGTACCAAAAAAAAAAAAGACAGAAAATGAAAAGCAATGATGGACCCTGTCTTAGTCACTTTTCTGCTGGGACACAATACCTGATACTCACAGCTTAAATGAGGAAAGGTTTATTTTGCCTCACAGTTTGTAGAGTCCATAGTCCAGTGGCTCCCAGGCAGGACATTATGGCAGAGGGGCATGGTGGGGATGGCTGCTCATGGCAGGGCATCCAGGAAGCAGAGAATGATGGGAGGAGCTGAGGGGAGAGATAAACCCAGGCCACTCCCACACACCTCCCAGTGACTGGCCTTTTCTGACCAAAACTTGCCTCCTAACAGAGTCAGCTATAAACCACCATAATTCAATCACTTTCCAAAAGCCCCACCTATGAGCACATGAGGCTCATGGGAGACATCTAGATCTGAACCCTAACATACCTAGAGCACTAATCTCATGATTACCATAACTATCATGCAACACAGAATTTAAACATATGCATAGTAAGCAATTCACATGAATAAGCATATTTATATTTATTGAAGGCAAATCAGGAATACTGGGGGTCAAATGTGGACAGGTGGAATGTGAACTTGATTGATCTGAGCTGAAATTTTAGTTGATGTTTTATTATTAACTGAGAGGAACACAGTCAGGACTGTTTTCTGGTTGGAGTATAACCCCCTAACAGGCTTTGAGATTCTGCATTTAGGGCAAGACAGTTCTCTCAGGGAATAATTATCCTTTTCAAAGTTGAGCAAAAACAGAACTATGGTACAAAATTGAATATAGTAAAGGTGAGAAGTGAGGACTAAGCTTGAGAGTGACTAATTCCTCCTTCTGTAGAAAAGAGAAGAGGGAGAAGGCAGAAACAGAAAAGGGAAATGTTGAAGGAAGGCTAAATTTCCTTTTATAGTTCAGATTTGCCCTCTTCTCTTGCATTTCTGGGGTTGATCTCAAATAGGGCACAGATTAAACAGTGTAACCCCTCCAATTAGTTTAAAATTAGACTTTTGGATGGAACCCAGGGCCTTGTACATGCTAAGTGAGTGTCTTACAGTGAGCTCCACCCTCTGCCTGAAATGAGACATTCTTTAACATTTAGACTCAGCTAACCTTTACTTTGTACCTAGCTTATAACAGGTTTGCATGCTGTCTCATTGAATCTTCCACTTCCTTGCAAGGTAGACATTGTAATGTCAATTTCAAAGATGAGGAAAGAAAAGCCTGAGGTTGTAGCTCAGTGATAAAGTTCTTGCCTAGCATTCATGAGGCCCTTGCCTACCATCCCCAGCACTGCAGAAAATGAAAATTAAGAAATGAAGAAAAATGCTTTAAAGGCTGTGAAATATGTCCCAAGTCACAGAGTGAGCTGCAGAGTCTCCTGATTCCTAGTTTTATTCTTTCTCCATTTCCGGGGAGGGACAGAGCATGAGAGAGGAAGTCTCTTTCAGCAGGCTGCTGCGCAGGGACAGGCACGATGCATGCTGCAGACACACAGATTTGTAGGTTTATTATGACGCTTTTCTGACAGATGGCAGAAAAGCATGTTGTCTTAACAAAATTGGTATATTAAGACAATTTTCTGACAGATGGAAGTAAACCCTCATAAATGCCTTTTTTTCTATTCCAACGAAGCCTTTGTTTGGGCTATTGGTGGCTTTGTCTATTTTAAAACATAATAGTGTGTTTTAAATAGCATACCATTCCTAAGATTAAACTTGAATTCACTTGAGGAATGCACGTTTTGATCAAAGGAAGAATCATTCACTGGTAAGGATCTCTGCATGTTAGGGGGACAATTTACGAAGCCAGGGAGCAGTTTGAAGCTGTGTCTTTGAACAAAGGAGGGAGACAACTAAATGTGTAGGGGAAATGTAATGTAAGGGGCATCACAAGAAAAAGCACTAGGGAAGAAGGAAGAGCACTGGTCCAGATCTCACACATCAATTTAGACCCCTCCTGAGCAAAACTTAGCCATACATACTAACTTCATCCTCACCTGTACCTGGTAACAGCTCTCCTTTACCTGACCCCTGGAAGGGCTGGATTGGTGCATATGTTGTTGATGTATAAGGACAAGTTCACACCCAAAGAATTTTTTCTTAAATGCCTGACATTTCGCTAACCCAGAGGAAACTGTGTGTCAGCAGGCTGAGTGGTTTTTTTTTTTTTTGTAGTTGTTGTTGTTACACGGCTGTGCATGACTGAACAAGCCACTTGTGTTACTGAGCACACCTTGTTCTGGATGTCCCGTGTGTACTTCCGCATACATTTCACTATGGTTCATGAGCTCAGAAAAGAAGAGTGGGTGATTTCCTACTTGGACATAGGCGATCAAGACTAAATATGGAGGGGCTGGGGCTGCTTCTCTAGATTGGACATAAATAGAGGGTGGGCTGGGCATTTAGCTCAGTGGTTTCGCTGCCTGCTGTGTAAGTGCAAGGACCCATGTTCGATCGCTGGTACCAAAAAAAAGAGGGAAGAAGGAATTTGGGGATAAACCAGGAAGTTCCTATTTCGGGAATTCAGAGTCATTGATGGGAGGAAAAAGCATTGAACCTGTATGGTCTTGGTTAAATAATGAAACCTTTCTGAGCCTCTGTTCTCACTTAATTGAATCTCTGTTCTCTCATCTGTAAAAAGAGAAGATAGGACCAGATAAGCTTAGATAAGTCTTCTCCATGTACCATTTTAGAGGAATATAAAGTTCTACCATCCTTTTCCTAAATTATGTCTGTTATATCTATGATTTGATGTTGAGACTTGTGAGGAATACAATTTTCAACTTTAAATCTTCCTAAGGGGAATTATAATCTCCTCTATGACTACATATTTTATAAAAAGTATTTTGAAATATGTATGTAGTAGAAGTTTATACTTTGGGGTAGATACGTAAGGCTCGGTTCTAAATCCAGATAATGTACACTTAAACATGGACAAAGTGCTTTATCTCTCTGTGTTTAATTCTCTCATCTGTAAAATGAGGGTAATAATAATTATCCTTGAGCTAATCGATAAAAACACTCACAACAGTACCTGGTGTATAGTAGGAACTAAAAAATATTATGGTGGGGTGAATAAGAATCACCTAGGAATGGAATGTTCAATCAGAAGTTTTCATAGGAGTGAATATTTAATTTTCAAGGGGGGATGTGACCCCAGGACCTCATACATGCTAAGCATGTGCTGTACCATTGAGCCCCAAGAAGACAATATTGATGGCAGCAATGGCCTGGGCACTGAGCAAATAAAAGTTAAAGTTGTCATTAAGAAAAGAGATAAGAACACCTTGGTGGGATCATAGGGACCATAGATAAATAGCTAAAAGAGTTTTATGAGGTCCACCTGTAATGTAATAGTCACCCTGGGAAATCTGGACAGTTTAAGCATGGGAAACAATAGTCTGAAAGTTTATGAGCAGAAAAATGTCAAGATCAAGTCAAGATTGATGATTTATTTGCCTGTTTTGCATTACCTTAGTTTAAACATATCTTTTGTACTACAAAAACCATGTTAATCTATGATATTGCATTGTAAGTATAGATGACGTCTGAGAATTGAACTGCAAGAAGTCTGGAGAGAGGGAACACAGTCAGTGGTTTAGGCCCTGGTAAGCCTTTTCACTCAATAAACTGATGTCTGTGGGCAATGGAATCAATCAGGCCTAAAAGGTGCATTTTGGCAAAGCCTATGGAAATAATGTGCCAGGGATTTTAAAGATTTCCCCAGCATGGAGACATCATTTGCTTGTCAGATGAGGAGGTATGCTAGTATCTTCACTATCCTGGAGGAAGAAATGGAAAAAGTAATTGAAGGTTTTAGAAGAACTTTGAGAGAGAGTGATTATAGTTGCCTATCATTAATATACATATCATATAAGGTAGAAGATTTAAAACAATGCATACTATATTTTTTGAAGAATTTAGGTAATTTTTAAGGATGAATTTTACTTTTTGACATTTTGCCCTGTACTTACTACAGTCCCTAAATCCCAGACTAAAATGAGATTGTAGTCTGGGCACGGTGGCACATGCTTATAATCCCAGCATTCTGGAGACTGAGACAGGAGGATTGAAAGTTCAAGGCTAGCCTGGGCTACATAGTAAATTCAAGACTTATTGATGTCCAGTCTCAAAAAACAAACAGAAGGTAGAGGCAGAAAGATAGTGAGTTCAAAGTCAGCCTGGGAGTTATGGTTTGTATCCAGATGGCCCCTCACAGCACTCATAGATAGGGCTTTTGGAAGATGGATGGATCGTGGGTTTGTGGTACTGGATTAAGGGTATGTGATACTGGGGATTATTCCACTGATTGATTTAGCATAGTTCTGGGTGTGGCTGAATAGATTTACTGAAGAGAGAAGCACCACTCTTGCTGTGGGTAGCATCACCCACTAGGCTTATAACCTGAAGGGAATATAAAGGGAAAGAGAGGCTCACTTCTTGCTGCCTACTGTCTGCCATGACGTGGACTGTTTCTCCCCTGCCATGCCCTGCCTTAAAGCCCCCCAACTATCGACTGAAACTTCTACAAACGGTGATCTAAATAAATCTTTCCTTCTTTAACTTGTGGGTGTTGGGTATTTTGTCCCTGTAATGAGGAAGTAATTAAGACACTGGGCTACGTTGAGTTTGAGGGTACCATGGGCTATATAGACCAAAACCAAAACAATGAAATTATGAACTTCTAGATTAATATGGCATTAGTTTTGTCTGTATTTACTGGGAGCAGTGTTTTTGGTTTGTTTTTTGAGGGTACCGGGGATCAAACTTGGGACCTTGCCCTTGCCAGGCAGGTACCAGAACCATAAATCCCTGGCCCATTTGCTTATTTTTTTAAGGAAGAGAAACAGATCTTTGGGTTGCAAAGAGTTACAGGTGAGTGGGCTTTTTAGTTATGCAAATATGGACAGGAGTGGTTTTTTCCATCTCTGCTGCCCCTCCCTGAGTCACAGGCATATAAAGCTGATCTCCAGGAAGAAGGTAGATTATTTGCCTAAGGAAGACAGGACCTCTTTCAAGGGAGGAGATAGAAACATTCTGATGAACTTTTCCTCCTTGGTTTGTAATTAGGGGGCTCTTTGGTGGACTGGAACCTCCCAATCCCTCTCCCTTAAGATCTTATGGCAAGAAAGAACGTGTAGGGTTTGCAAACCAAAAAACTCAACTTCCTCGAGGAAGATGAGTGTGGGTTGGTGACTCAGGCCCTGACAAAGTTCCA